GGAATGGGGAAGAAAGAGGACATTGATTGTTAGACACTCACTTGCCACTCTCACCTATCTTCTGAGAGAGGAAGAGTATGACTTTTACATCTTTTGACAAGGTGTTGGTACTTCTAACTTCATGGAAGTAACTATCAAAAGGAGCACCTCAGAGACAATTTGGTCTTGATCATCATTCTTCCAAAGCAAGTTTCTAAGCCCCAAAGCTAAAAGATATGCATAAAACTCCACTAGATAGTGACTGTTTTCTTATACCAATGATGATGCAGTTGAAGTTTCATTGAAAGAGACTTTCCAAGATGAGATCTTCTGTTTGGAGTAATTTTAATGTACAAATGAGGGAACCTAATCTGAGGTTTGTTTAGATCTGAAATGAAGGGGTTGGACAGAATGATCTCAAGGATACTTTTTTAGTCTCATTTTCTCTAATTTTAGCTATAGGAAGCTTGCAGGTAATCAGATGTCGTGGCATCACATCCAAAAAACAAACAGCCAGTTGAAAATACACTTGCTCAAGTAAACAACATTTTTGAGCATGGTGTACTAATTATTTGATACATCATGCAGTTTACATAACCCTCTAGTGTAATAACATGATTAGACAACCAGTTCTGGTATAAATTTGCTTATGAAGCAGCACTTGCTTGTAATGTCTCATAAGATGTAGTAGTTTTGAGGTTTTAATGGTATAAACAGAAATGAATGGGACTGAAGCCATCATTGACTAATCCCTGATGAATTATATAATAGATCATATTTAAATTTCAATAGCCAACTGATGCACCTTCTGAGAAAAAAATTCCATCTTGAAATGCCATCTAACTCAAAAGTTAGCAATTTGGTGTGATGAGGAAGGGAGAAGAAGCAGTAGGAGTGGAGAACAAGACAAAGAAGAGTATATTGCAACTGTATAACTCCATGGCTGAACCAAGAAGGACAATAAAAAAGATCAGATATATGGAGTAGCTTCTTCATGCAGAACAATGGAGTAGTCTGAGGTTTTTCAGCATGGAAGAAGGAATAACGTGAGGGGGCATGATAGTGGTCCATGAAATCATGAGTGGCATGGAGAAGATGGATGGGGATGGACTGTTCAGTCTCTCTTAACACAAGAACCAGAGGCCAGTGAAGCTGGTATGAATGAGGTCATAAACTTAATAATAATAAAATGGTTCTTCACATAATGAGCGCTGGACCTGCAGGACTCTTGTCAAAGGATGTTGCTGAGGCAGAAAGTTTGCAAATTCAAGTACTTGGGGGAGAGAGTCACTGAGAGTAACTAAAGAGACAAACACATCAGGCTTAGGAAATTTACTGAGCTGAAAACAGCTAGAGGCAGGGAGAGTGTTCATTTGAAGTTTGCCCAGCCCCTGCACATCTCTAGGCATCTGCTGCTACCCGCTTTTAGAAAGCAGGAAACTGAGCTCAGTGGACCATTGATCTGAACCACCGTGGCTGTTCTTATGTGCAGTATAATCAATCAAAACATCCCTCAGTGAGTCAGTAGTCTCCATTCACTAGGGAGTTTCAACAGCTCAAATGACTCATAAAATAATTTGGCTTCTAGTTACAAATCAGAATTTGGGGATACCTATTTTGAAGAATATCTCTTTAACATTTTATAGCCAACCTAGATATACAAAATAATAATTAGAGGAGAGTAAACAATCCACAATTAAGTGTTACTGGCTTATTAAGACTTTCCTAGGTTAAGGCAAGAAATAATAGCAACACTGAAATGAGAAACAATTTGCATCATATTAGCAGGTTAATGTTTTTCTTATCTTCTATTCTGTCTGTTACACAGTTAACTTTTATGCTTATCATCATATCTTCATTTTCACTAAGGCTTATCTTAAAAAAAACCGAAAGCTTCACCCCTTCCCTTTTCCCAGCATCACTACTGAGATTACTATTATGTAAAAACCTTTCAAGTGACAGAGTAACTTGGGTGTCTTACACAGGTCAAAATACAGAAAATAACTGCATTCCATGGGAAGGTTCCCTCTACTCCTAAAAATAACAGCAGTTGTTGTTGTTGCTATAGCTATGGCTTACTGTCTTCTATCTTAGAAATACATCTAATACATAAGAATACTTCAAAAATATAGAAAAGAACAAATTACCAAAATAACATAGGTCTGGAAATTATAGTTGGAAGATCTTTTACTACCTGTGTATTATGGAGCTAGGAGCTTTGCTCTCTTATTACATTGTGAAGAAACTAACGGAAAATGGATGGGTGTTTTTACCTTTTGCCAGTAAGTAACTTGTGTCCAAGAAGTGGAAAACCCAACGTGGATTTGACACATTGCCAAACTAGCACGCTCTTAACATAACTACATGATTCCAGTTCCAGTCTTCCCTACCGCTCCTGGGAAAACTTTAAAATTACTGTTATTTAAAGTCGCTTTTATGACACAAGTAAAAGGAATGCAGAGAAACAGTATTTTACTTGATTACAGCTCCTGCACAGCATCTGCACTATTCAGCACTATTGTATTTCACATGCTTTGTACTACATTTCCTTACAGTAAACGGAGCCAGCATTTACTCTTGTCCTCAGAAGACCTCAAGAAAGCATCTTAACTGCTTATTCATGCAACATGGACAGGGGGAGGATTGTTTACGCAGCTGGTAAGGAGTGGCGGGTCCACCCGTGGGGCCTGCAGGCCTCCCAGCCGTCCCTCGGGCCAGGTCTCCTCAGCCTGTATAGGGGCAATGGTCACTTTGCAGGGTATCTTCAGGCGCATTTTAACCTGAGAATGTTAAAATACTGTCTCAGGTGAGTGGGTTTTGTTTTTCTGCAAACAGCAAACACGGTGCTGCTGCCTTGAAATGGCACCGTCAAACACAGGGCAGCTCTGCCTTGAGACCCTTTGACCCTACGGGGACAGATGCTGATCCCAGGGAGGAGACCGCGTATGGAAACTACTGCATTAGCACAGTGTTACATCCATTTAAAAGAATCAAAACTCTGAAATCAAGCACCTTACAACGCGCTTTCGCGGCGCTCTGGAGGTGCCCCCGGCGGGCCGCCAGCGGCCAAGACGGCTCCCAGCCCCTCACCCCGCCCTGCCCCAAGATGGCGGGCCGGGTTTCGGGCCCGGGCCC